ACTCGGCGGGGTCGCAGCTGCCTCTGGAAGGCACCGAGATGTACCTTTTTCGCGCAATGGTCAAAATCAAGGTTTTGTAACGCGAGCTGTGCCACAGTGAAATGGAACTAGCCTTTACCTTACCTTACCTTACCTTACGCCACGGGGCTAGCACGCTCAGCTGCTCACAGCCTCACACATGGGGGTCATGCAGGCCGAAGGACACCTGGGCGGATCGGCACAAAGCTAAATGTGCGCGCGTGTACTAGCGGGTCCCCTCTCCCCTGCCTCGGCGGGCAACGACCGACGCGCCGGAGCGTGCAGTCGTCACCCATCACCGCGTGGGCGGGGCCCGGGGGGGGGGGGGGGCGAAAACTGCACGACCCAGCGCTGAGCCTGAATACATTCCTGAGCCAAGCCCAGCTGCGCCGAGGGCAGCACCTCACTCCTCGGCTCCCTCATATACACCTGAGCCAGGTTCAAGCTCAGGAGCGGAGGGCAGCGCCGGCGGCGATGCAGGCGGCGGCATGGCGGGTGGCGCGGGTGCAGGAGTGCACATGCCGAAGAACGGCGAGTACTTGACGCAAAGCGTAGTCGACGGGCAGCACAACTCGTACGCTGTCGGAGGAAAAGTCGAATAGTCCATCCCCGCACACTTGCCAAAGGGAAGCGTTGGGCAAGGGTCTGGTGGTGCCGGGACGTCGGCCTCGAGCGTGAAATAATGAGGCATGGGTACCGCATTGAAGAGGTACAGAACTCCTCCGGCGACTCCCATGATGAGAATCACGGCAGCCGCACGATAGGTCCTGCGAGTCGGACTCGGTCGGCGTGCATGATCCTGAAGGAGAGGCTCAACCAAAGACCCCGATCCGAAGGGAGGCGCGGCTTTCGAGGGCATGTTTGTCATTTCTGCCTGCGTGGCGACGGACCGTCGCCGACCGCTCGGTGCCGGAGACCAACACTGCTTGGTGAGGGGACCAGAGCAAGAGGGGGGAACAGAAACAAAAGAAGACGCTGAGAAGACTCCTTTGTGCCGTTCGCCCTCCATTCGGTGACCTCCATGGCTGTCCGCCTCCTTTTGCTGGGTGGCGCTCTCGATACCGTTGCGTCAACCTCGACGTCGCTGTCGCCCTCCCCGTCCCCGCCGTCGCCCGTGCCTCGATTCGCGTCATCGGTAGCGTCTCCGTTGTTCCCTCGTGCCCCGCCGTCGCCCTCTCTGCTCGGGCCGTTGTCGGAGAGGAATGTGCAATGTCGAGGGCGCTCAGGACAAAAAGCGGGCGTGCTGGCCCTGGCGTGGCCCAACTATGGGCAAAGTGTTTGTGTGAGCACACAAACAGTCCGCAACACACGCGTCGCATCGTGTTGTAAACAAACGCGTATACGAATGTCGTGGTTCGTACATATGACATTCTCCCAGTCTCTCTCTCCCAGTATGCTAAACGTACCGAACGTGCATAGGAGACACATACAAGGCATGTCCAGGAGCTACACATTTCATCCCACCCGCTGGCGGACCCGCCGCGCACAAACGGTGTAATGTGCTCGCCGACCTCTTCCGCCTCCTCCATGCCGTACACGGTGTCCCAAAAGTGGCGGCTCATGCATGAGCGCCTTCGTCGGCCGTCACGCCGAGCGCCTTCACGGAGAGCGGTACCCGCGGCGCACCTGCCGCGCGATCAGGCTCTTTGCCTTGGCGATGCCAACAGCCTTCCGGCAGCCGATCCAGCCGGTCGAGAGGACCTTGTAGCTGCCCGGCCGGAAAAGGTACTCGGCCGGCAGCGGCGGCGGCGTCACCTCCGCCTCCTCCTCCTCCTCCTCCACCTCCATCGCGTCCTCCAGGTCCAAAGCCGAAGCGGAGGAGGAGGCGGCCACCGGATCCTCCTCCGCCTCGACGGCCTCCTCCTCCTCCGCGAGGAAGAACTCCGCCTCCTCCTCGTTGGGGATCTCGTCGCCGACCGCGACGACGCGGCCGAAATGCGCCACCAGCAAGCCCCCCTTGGTGAGCATCGCCTACGAGAGTTTCATGAATGAGGACGTGTCTTGGACGTGCCATGGACATGTGCCCCCCAGTGTAGCCGTCAGCGGCGAGCCTCGTAGTAACACGAGACCTTGGCGCCGACGCGCCGGCCCGCATGCGTGTCGCCCTCCTCGCTGCGGCAGATGACGCGGCCAAACTGGAACAAGCCGTCGTCAATCGACGTGATCGCGTCCTCGCGCGACACGGTGACGTACCGCTCGAGGAGCGCCTCTGAGCGCTGCGCCGCGCGCAGCGTCGCCGCCTCGGGCCCGTTGGCGGCACGCAGCAGCTCAAGGCCACGGCGGAGCTTCGTCACAAGCGACCTCAGCTCCACCTTGGCCGGCGCGAGCGGCGGCGCAGCGCGGTAGAGCAGCTCGTCTGCGACCAGGTCGCAAAGTGGCCGCTTGCTGACCTAAACACGCGACTCTCGGCTGAATCTCGTCACATCTCGGCTGCATCTCGGCCGTCATGCCGCTCGCGTGCAGCCCCACGAGGCACCAGCCGGGGAAGGACGTGCCGTCGTCGCAGCCGAACTTCTGGTTGTTCAGCAGCGGCCGGTGGGAGAGGTGCTCGTCCACCTGCAGCGCGCGCGTCGTGTCGCCCTCCTGGATGTTGGCCTGTAGGCAACAGGGATGGAACGAGTGAGGGCGGGCGGAGTGGGCGGGACAAAAGGGCAGAGGAAAGGCGGCCTCCACGTTCGTGGGGTGCCAGCTCAGCTCGATGGTGGCGAAGTTGTCCGCGACCTCCTCGCGAGAGAGGGTCTTGCCCGTCGCCGCGCGGAGCACCGGGTTGTGCTGCTCGACCAAGTAGCGCTGCGACTCGTCGCACGACGCGCCGTCAGGCGGCGCGCCAACGAGCTGCAGCACCTCGCGGCCCTCGAGGACGAGCGGCGGGTCGAGCTGCTTGGCCGTTGGCGGCGCGCGGTGCGCACCCGCGACGAAGACGTAGACGCAGCGGCCCTTGTTGAGGAAGTGCAGGGCGACGGACGCCTGCCGCGGCGTCTCCTTCTCGACGCGGTCGAGGATCTCGTCGAGCTGTGGCGGAGCTCAGCGCAGCTCAGCGGGGTGTGGGCACGGGCGGGGCGAAGTGTGGACGGGGCCTGGGGCGGGGCGGAGCGCACGTTGACTTCGGGCCGGCGGGCGAGTAGCTTCAGGGTGTTGTTCATCCGCTCGGCGGACTTCATTGCATCATACTTGCGCTGCCTCTCGATGAGCACATCGCTCGTCTGCAAGGCCAGCTGGCCCCGCGCGTGCGCCGCCTTGACGTCGTCCGCCGAGTAGAAGCGGTGCGGCCTCACCTTGTACGACACGCCCTCCGCCTCCGCCGCCGCGATCGAGGCTTCGCTCGAGAGATGCCGCGGCACCACCTTGTACGACACGCCCTCCGCCTCCGCCGCCGCGATCGAGGCTTCGCTCGAGAGATGCCGCGGCCCCACCTTGTACGACACGCCCTCCGCCTCCGCCGCCGCGATCGAGGCTTCGCTTGAGAGAGTCCGGGTCGAGGCCGAGACGCGAACTTTGGGCCGCCCAGCGCCGCCAGTCCGCCCCTCCATCGGCGCCGCCTCCCACTCGGCGAGGCGCTGCTGCCTGCGATAGCAGAGGCAGGGGGTGAGCACAGAGAGGGTGGGAGGGTGTTTCGACCCGCGTCCCCCGACAGAGTCTCCACTCAGTCGGTTGCCCCGCCCCTTCGTGCCAGGGGGCGGCGGCGGGACGCGTAGGATCGCCCCCGCGAGAGTGTGTGCTAACCCCTCGCCCTGGCTTGCCGCTGCCCCGGCGGCGGTCCTCTCCTTTGCGGCATGCACGCTCGCTGGCGATGCAGAGGCTCGCGGTGGATACAGACGGATTGCACGCCAGCCAGGGCCCCCGTTAGGCTGGCATACGCTTGTGGCGCGGGCAGCGGTGCTGGGATATCGACACCGAATGCGCCGAGCATCGCCGCGACGTCGTCGGCCAGCGAGAGCCCGGCGCCCTGCAGCGCGCGGAAGACATCGTGCATCAGCCCCCGGTCGTTGAGCCAGCGCCTGAGCTGGGGAGGGTACAGCGTGCGGCCGGGCATCGAGAACTTGTTGCACGT